CGATGTTGTTGATTCCTGTCACTTCGATTCCCAGAGGCGCGAACCATTCTAAACTCAATCCAACTACCGGAATCTTGTTTCCTTGGTAGTCTTTTAACATCAGGCTTTGCTCTTCAAGTTCTTTTCATCATATGTCTGGTATCAAGTTTTTTATTGTGTTCCATGATACCATTGACAGATATGAGCCAGAGTCTACTTCCATTTCGCATGACCGGAGTTGAGTTCAGCTCTTTATTTAACTGTCAGTAACTTCAACTAAAGTCGAGCCATGACAGCCCCTTTTATAGCGGCTGCTCACAGCTCGCAACCATGGCATTTATTTAAAACTCCCACCACTTAGGCGGCCAATCATAACTGATATTATCTACCAATCGCGGGGTGGCAGTATTGTCCAATAGGAATGCAGTATTATGAGTATGTAAAACAAGTATATACAACAGCCATAATCATGACTTAATGATAATTTTGTCCTTAGATAAAGAAATATTTCCCAGGAGAACACTGGCATCACCAAATATTTGGCCTGAAGTCAAGTAAGTATATTATGATACTACATAAAGTATTTTCTTTGCAGGAATAAAGGAAGCTGTCCAATACTTTTCCAAAAGGAAAACTGCAGTTCTGTTCTGCCCATTGTGACTATTGAAGCAGGTTCCCTTGTGAAAGATGAAAGTTCTCTTTGATCTTAACCCACATTGGGTGAATGTCCAGACACCACAGATTCCCCAGAGAGCCACTGGGGTTTTTGGATTCAGTACAGCGGGAAAATAAAGGCAATGTTCCCTGAAGAGCAGCTCATCCCCATTTGAGAAATTTGAGGGGTACTGAGGGGACTTCATAATGAAGAAATGTTGATTTTCTGAAGGAAAGATGGGATAGAAATAAAATAAGTAAAATATTTGTGAGAGTGCCATAGTTATGATAATATTAGACTCTGCCCTCAGCCAAAATGCCTGACTATGGGTGTTGGTGAGAATTCCCTTAAAATTCATCTAAAGCGGAAGAGTGAAAGGATGAGAAAATTTGGGGTTTGAGTGTATCAATTCTCCAACCAAATGAGAAACATTGATTTTAGAGCTGCAATCAAGAAGATGGTCAAAAAGCAGACATAAGTTTATATGTATAAGTAAAAAAAAAAGTATGTGTGTGTGTAACTGTGTCTGTCTGTGTCTGTGTCTGAATTCATGTACGTCCTGTATTTCTGCAATACTGACTGATTATCTTTGGTTGCTTTCTATTAGCAGGATGCTTTATGTTACTCGGAGTGAATGTAGACTGGTCAACATTCGTTTCAATAATACTAAAATTGTGGAAATTGCTTCAAATATGTCCAAAATATCAGAAATTTTTTCTTCCCCATACGACCAACCGTTTGATAATTTAACACAAAACCTTCTCTATGGATTTTTTGCCATGATTTGTATTTTGGGCCTAGTGGGAAATGGAATGACAATTTACCTCCTGGCCTTTTCCATTAAGAGGAATTCTTTCACCACTTTCATCCTGAATCTCTCAATCGCTGATTTTGGAGTCCTCACCTCCCTCATGATGGCAGACATATTTGTGACAGTGTCAACTCTGGGTGAAAGAAATGACATTGTCCAAACCTTTTTCTTCTTATTTTTTGAGCTCTTCTTCTTCACCTATTCTGCCAGCCAGTTTCTTCTGACAGCCATCAGCCTGGACAGGTGTGTGGCCGTACTCTTCCCACTTTGGCATCGCTGCCATCGTCCTCCATATTTGCCTATCCTTGTTTGTGGCCTCATCTGGATCCTCTCCTTCCTGCTCTCTGTGGTGCACTTCATTCTCCACCAAACCAGGGCCTTTGGAAGTTCACCTTTGTTTTACCAGCTGGTTGTGAATGGTTTACTTTGTACACCTCTTATGGTTGTGTCCACTGTGACTCTCTTGATTCATATGAGATCTAAACTGAAACTCAATCAAAGGAAGCTGCTCAATGCTTTACTGCTGGCTCTCCTCTTCTTCCTCCTTTTTTCTCTCCCAATGGATGTCTTTTATGTCATTGAATATTTTGGTTCCCCTAATCTCCTCCTCATGACCATTGGGATAGAATGTGCCACTCTCAACAGCAGCATCAACCCTCTCCTTTATTTCTTAGTGGGGAGGAAGAAGAGAGGAAAGGATCAGCCCAGAGCATCTTTGAAGCTTGCTCTGCAAAGAGTTTTCAATGAGGAACAGCACAGCGCAGAAGAGCAGCAAAGTACGGAGGAAAACATATTGTAAAGTGTCCCTAATATTGTACAATCATTTTAAATCCATAAATAACTTGTGTGTTCAATAAGAAAACCTACGTCATTTACTGAACAAGCTGAACACAAAACAATATAACCAGGAAATATTTATCAATGTATAATTCTCAAAGTGATGATGTTTGTATATTAAATGTTTTACTTATATAATTCCTTTTTTAATTTCCTAATAAGAACGGTTAGAAATAATTCTTACTGCATGACATTTTTAAAATACATAACACTTACCATGTTATTTATCTTTATGTGTTACATATTTTCCAAGGTTTTGTCCCTTATAGACTTGATAGAACATATGGCTTGACTAAAAACGTGTAAATTTATATGTGTGTATATAATGAAAATAAAGAGAAGGGGAAAAAAATACAGGATACACTTCCTGAAATAAAATGTGACATCTATGATCCTCACAAATTTCAGACATAATGTTCACTTATGTTAATACCAGTTCATTATTAATAATTTTCATTTGTTTGTAACTATTTTTTTAAACTATTCTTTAAAGATATGTAGGTTCTATGATGGTAAGCTTTCCTCCCTGCCAATCTTTTATGCGCATTTCAAGTAGGAGACAAAGGTTTGTCCATCCCATGTGCCTTTGGCACTTAGTCATGCTGGCCACATGATCTCAGAATCATCATCAAACAGTGCTGGCACTTCAGCTTAGAAACCGAGATGAGCACCGCCCCCTAGGGTTGGGAACGACTAGCACATATGTGCGAGGGGAACCTTTATCTTTACTTTACCTTCAGAACTGTAGAAGTTGATAGAGACAGGCTTTGCAAAGCATATTAGTGTAAGAAAATGACAGAATAACAGAGTTGGAAGGGACCTTGGAGGTGTTCTAGTCCAACCCCATGTTCCAACAGGAAACTTTGTAGCATTCCAGACAAGTGGCTGTCCAGTTTCTTTTTAAAAGCCTCCAGTGATGGAGAACCCACAATTTCTTACCTTGAATTTTGATAGGACATAGTATCAATTGGTATAGCTTTCATCTTACTTATTTCATTAGTTAGATTTATATCTTGCTTTTCCTGTGGAAACTGAAGGTTGTAGTCTCCTGGCTAATGTAACAACACCATACACTAAATTAGGGCTCTCCAAACTTGGCAACTTCAAGATTTGTGGACTTCAACTCCCAGAATTCCTCAGCCAGCCAAGCTGTCTGGGGAATTCTGGGAGTTGAAGTCCACAAGTCTTAAAGTTGCCAAGTTTGGAGACCCCTGCACTAAATAAACCACTGACTAGCTTAAATAACAGAAGGTGGAGAAATATATGGGTCAGATAACTTTATTTGATTTGTAAACTGATTTGTACAACCTTGAGGAGATGACATGCACAACATTTCCAAAGCATTTTACATGAACAGGGAAGAGTTAGAATACACATAGAGTGATAACAACAGAGAATAGCTGCATCAGTCTGTAACTCAAGTTGGAAAGGAGACATCAAAGGCTATCTGAAACGGATTTGTCTACAAGAATATAATTGGAAAACTTTATTTTGTTAAATAGATATTTTGATATATATTCTGCTGCATTTCTGTGACAAAGGATTTCATGTCTAAGTAGCACATTATAATTAATTGGTACCAAATAAGAGTGTCACTTGGCTCAAACAATGCAGGAGGACTGCTTTTTGAAAGAAGAACAAACATTACAAGTTCTTTGGGTTTCCCAGCATCAATTAAAATCTTTAGCAAAACAGATTTTGGAATCAACTAAACAGACTTTCAGGGACAACAGGATGCCACTTGGCATTCTAAAAAACAGAGTTTGGATTCAATCAAACAGGTAAATTCCACTGCTGAAGGCCACTCTACTATTACACAAGTGACACTCTTTGTAAAAGGGAAAAAAAACACTGTATTCATTGTCTTTGGATAGAAATTGTGACCCAACGCTCCTTTATTAGGATGATGTAGACTTTTATCAGATATTTTGGGACTAACATAAATTGATTGACATAATTCTGCAAAACTAGAGAGCTTCTGTCACTAATAATGTCTGAAGAAAGACAATCAAACAATTAGATTGGTGTTTCTCAAAATTAGCTACTTTAAGAGGGGTGGACTTCAAATGCTAGAATTCCTCAACAGCTGGCTGGGGAATTCAGGCATTTGAAGTCTGTTTATTTTAATCTGATCTAGGTTGAAAAACACTGAATTAGACACTAAGCATGACCATTGGGGGATTTGAAAGTAATATTTGGTGAAAAATAAAGTGTATCAGAGATGAATTTTATGAGCATGGTGATGTAACATATTTTTCACCAAGACTTATAGTAAGCTAGAACAAACATTGGTTTTCACTGATTCTCCTTAAACATGTAAACAGTAATTTAACATGAAATTGACTCTATGATACAAATGAAGTGGATTCCAGATGGAAAGTAGAGATATTGGCAAACATTTGTGAACTTAAACTCAAATAATAGTGCTGAAATCTCATGCTGTCTTTCAAAAAAAAAAAACACCTTACAAATCCAAACATATGGCTAGCTTTGTCTCAAGCAGTTTTCCAGTTTACAGATGGGGAGGACTTCTTGACTGTTAGTTTCTCTGGACTTCTCTTTTAGAATATTATTTTCATCTCCATGATGTAATGTATAGGGAAAAATTGGGTGGGAAATCATTGTACATGGTTGTATTTAATAGACCACAATGTACAAACAATCAAAAATCTATCTTCTTAGCCCAACCAGTTAAAGAATGAACATCAATCTTTTCAGAAATATTCATAATGAGGTTTTATCAGGCTGCATCTCATTTTCCTTGGTATCTTCCTCATTTCTGAAAACTCTGTGGAGTGCAAGTTTTATGCTTACTCTGGATTGATCGTCCTTATTTCTCCCAGCCAGGAAATAAAGGATTGGATTGATGCTGCTATTTACTGCAATACAGATGTCAGAAACCAATGCAAGAATGAATATATGTTGAAACCAGGGGTGAGTGCTATATATAATAGCTAAAAAAATGTCAGCCATCATGTTATATTCTATTGGTGAGTTCGTAAACAGTGCACCGAGTACCGATGTTAAATCACTGTTTTTTACTATACTGTAAGTAATAACAGAAAAAATGCTGTGAGGCAAACGAAATACAATGAAGCACATGAGTGCAAGCAAGGTGACTGTTAACACCCTTTTCCGCTTTTGTTGGTGCTGTTTAAAGAATATTTTAACAAGCAAGATCAGAGAGGATATGACCATCAATGGGTAAGAAATCAGCCCATTGAAAATCAACTGAAACAATAGAAAATGGTCTTGAAATAGAACTGCCAGTTCCAATACGAAGTACACAAGGGGCAGAACCCAAGTGACAGCACACACAATGAGGGACAATTTGGGTGGCCGATGGCATTGATGCCAAATTGGAAAAAGCACGGATACACAACGGTCCACACTGATGCTGATAAGTAAAAGTTGACTAGTATTGTACAATACAAAAGAAAGAAGATTTAAAATAAAGTATGCTCTAAAATTAAATGGATTCTGAATTTCGGATATTTGTGTCAAAACCGTCATTATGATTACTCCACAATCAGCCACAGCCAAATTCAAGACATAGATGGAGAAAGAATTCCTTTTCATATGGAAACCAAGGATCCAGATGACTTTTCCATTCCCTAAAAGTCCCAAAAAGCAGAAAATAAAAATAATGACATTAAAGATGATCTCAGTAGACATTGGAATATCTGGAATTTGGACATATTCAACGTCAGTCCAATTTGCATTGTCATAGGTTTCATTTTTAAACTCTGACTCAAATAATGATGTAGGACCAAACTCTGCCATTCTGCTCAGCTCAATTTTCTTTCTTCTATATTTTTATTTTTCTCCTTTTGTACATAAACACCTGCGGAGAGAGACAAAGCAGGCATACAATAAATCCTAAATTATGCTAAATTAAGTTCAGAATTTTTTTACAGCCCCCTGAAAATTAGGATTTAAATGAAGTTTTTTTAAAATTAAGACAAAGCTCTGCAGTTTTCCTGGTGACAACACAGAATTGATAAAAGAAAGCCAACAAGCAGACAATAAATAATTTCTACTGAATTAAATATATAGACAGAACAAATAACAATTTCACATCTACCACTGGCCACCTAGAGATCTGAAAAAGATTTGGAAGAAGTCACTCAGTTTTTAGAAAATAGATGCATATTTGTCTTCTTTTTTTGCAATCCATAAGCTCTTGTACAATATTAATGAGTTCCATTTCTCATATTTTTCTGAACACAGAGAGATCCCAAATTCTATTTCAAAGTCTTTCTGATAATCTGGGGGTGATACCACCTCAGATCAAGCTGTTCCTAAAATTTAGTGAAATAAATAAATAATATTTAGTGACCATATTACTGTGATTTGATGGGAAATTACGCTTGGTTGACATCCCATTACAAAAAAAGCTATACAAATACCTGTACCTGAATTCATTTTGGATAAAAGAGGCTCATGAAACAAAGAAAAAAGAAAAGAAAAATTACACTTTTAAATTTATTTGCTAATATTCAAATAGTCTATTATTTCCTAGCACAACTCTAACACAGCATACTTTAACAGTATTACAGTACATATTATGATTACAGAAAACATAATTACAAATCCCACTCCTGTATGTAGGGGTTCCATACTGATTTCAAGTGATCTACTCTAAGATTTAAGTCTTGATTCAGTTCAAAGCAAACACAGGAGTATATTTACTTTGTTAACAGTATTCTTCTTTAAAAGACCTTTTAAGACCTAATCTTTAGAAGAAAGAGAGTCCAGACTATAGAGGAAGAAAGACTAGAACAATTTGGCATCCAATCTATTATAATAATTTTTAAAACCTCAGATGATCTCAAGAAAGAGTTACAGTAGACTATTTTCTAATTTTACCAAAATAAATTATCTGCACACACTCATATGGCAATGGCTTTGAATGTTATTCCTAGGAACAAATGATAAATTTTAAAAAATGAATTGGCAATTCATATTTTTCCAAGGCAATAGGCTCCCCTTAAATGTGTTGTCCCTTCTCAGAGCTACCTTTGACAGAGCAATTGATTGGTCCAAATTCATGATTTGGTTTGATCTGAAGTTATTTTGAGGCAAAAAATACACAAAGCCATAGTATGGACTCTACAAAACCTCTGCATAAATTAAGCCATTCGCAAAGTGTGGTTTCTCCTCAAGGCAGTGACATTTTGCTCCTGTAACATAGGCAGTCTTTCAAGTAGTAGACACAGAGATTCATATATACCTGGAGAAAAGGATCAGTGGCTAATCTTTCTCGATTGCAAACATATATTCCTCTACATCAGGTCCTGGAATAGAAAGAGTTTTGGAAAAGCGTTCCAGACAGAATCGATGTATTGAGCTGTAATTGTAAAATGTAGGTCTTCTGTTGATTCTTTGCTAAGCAATGAAAGACTTATTAGATAAAGTGGCTTCACGGTTTAGCCGTTATTAGATTAGAAAGTGATGTTCCTTTTTGACAGCTAAGATAACCATTGAAAGGAAATGCAGAAGGGACCAATTCTTCATATCAAATGTATGTGCCACACACTGGACACACCCACCCTCGGTTTAGTAAAGGGGGTTAAAGTTGCAATACTTCATGTGATGACAATGTGATGCTGCAAGTTTGACATCCCAGATCTAGTCAGTTGAGCTAAAGTCTTCACTAAACAGACATATAGGGAAAAAAATATTCAGAAACAGAGACCAATTGACTATAATTCCTTGTGCAGAGTGCTGAACTGATGGCCCAACATACCTGGTTAAAAATACTATCTCAAAACTACCACTTGTCAAGATCCTTCAGATTTCAAATAATGTCAGGTGAGAAAGCCAAACATTTGGAGGTTTTCATATAAAACATTAGAGTTTTCATGCAATATTTTTACCAGCCCCTGAAGTGGATTACGAGCAGTTGAAATACTTTTGGTTTTCATTTTTCTATAGTTATTTTATACTGTTTCTTGGTTGTAAGTCACCCAGAATTTTTTAAAGATATGATTTCAGTAAATAAATAAAATTACCACATTTGGCTAGCCAAACAGTCATCTTTACTAAGATTGTTGCCAGTGCATTTAATCATTAAAAAAACCCTTTTGCTCTATTTAAACTAATGGTTATCTTAGCAGTCAGAAAGAAACTAGCTTTTCTAATCTGATAAATGCTAAACAATGAGACCACTTTATCAAGTAAGTGCGTGGAGCTCGCTTAGTAAAGTATGTTTCCTAGTATGATTTGATTGCTTATTTGTACCTATGACTATAACTAAGTGTTGTACCTTATGATTCTTGATGTATGTATTTTTTTTCTTTTTATGTACACTAAGAGCATATGTACCAAAGACAAATTCCTTGTGTGTCCAATCACAGTTGGCCAATAAAGAATTCTATATATTAAAAAATGAATAGAAGACATACATTTTACAATTACAAACCAGTACATCTATTCCTTTTGAAATGCTTTTCTGAAAGTCTTTTTATGCCAGGGAGCCATTTCAGGACCTAGTATAGAAGAATATATGTTCTGTATTTGAGAAAGGTGAAGATTACCAATCAGTCTTTATTTTCAGGTATTTATGAACCTCTATGTCTAGTACTTGCATAACAGATTGTTATATGACATAGAAATGCTATATATAAATAAATAAATGAAATAAAATTGCCACAATTGTCTACCAAAACTATCCTCTTAAGTAAGATTACTCCCCATGCATTTAATATGAAGAATTGGTCCCTTCTGCGTTTCCTTTCAATGGTTATCTTAGCTGTCAAAAAGGAACATCACTTTCTAATCTAATAACGGCTAAACCGTGAAGCCACTTTATCTAATAAGTCTTTCATTGTTTAACAAAGCATCAAACAGAAGACCTACATTTTACAATTACAGCTCAATACATGCTTTGGAATGCTTTTTCAGGATCTGCCATGGAAAAATATATGTTTTGTGATCAAGAAATATTAGCCACCGGTAATTATTTCCAGGTATACATTAATCTCTGTGTCTACTACTTGACGGACTGGCTATGTTACAGGGGCAGAATGTTAGTGACTTGTGATGGAGTCATACTATGCAGATAGCTTGGTTTACGTAGAGGTTTTCTACAGCTCAAATTATAGCTTTGTGTATTTCCTACCCAAACTTACTTCAAATTAAATCATGGATTTGCAAAAGGCAAATTGTTGCTCTTTCAAAGATAGCTCTGAGAGGGACAACCCATTCAGGAGCAGCCTATTGTCTTGGAAAAAAATGGAGTGCCAATTCCTTTCTTTAATTTATCATTTGTTCCTAGAATAACATTCAAACCCATTGCCTTATGAGTGTGTGCAGATAATTTATTTTTGTGAAATTGGAAAATAGCCTACTGTAACTCTTTCTTGAGATCATCTGAGGTTTAAAAAAATTATTATAATGGATTGAGTACCAAATTGTTCTATTCTTTCTTCTTCTATGGTCAAGATTCTCTCTTTAGTCTAAAGTTTTGTTTTTTTTTAAAGAAGAAACTTGTTCACAGACTAAAGGTACTCCTGTGTTGAACTAATTTAAATCTCAGAATAGATCCCTTGAAATCAGTGGGGAACCCTAGGAGGGATTTGTGATTATATCTCCTGGAATCACAACATCTACTAAAATGCTGTTTAGGTTTGCTGTATTAGTCTTGTGCAAGGAAACAGACTCTTCATTTGAATATTAGCAAAAAATAAATAAAAGATACATGTTTGTTTTCATGAGCTCCCCATTTGATCCAAGTGGATTCAGCCGGATGTATCTTTTAGCTTGCTTATGATAGAATTAGAAATTAAAAATATTATGTCTAACTTATCTTGTTTTCCATGAAAATTCAGTAATACTGTTTTTCACTAAATTGTGGGAACCAATAATTCTTTTTTTTTGTTAATAAAGTTTTATTTGGGTTTTCACACATACAAAATACAAGTAAAACATCTTTTTTGAAAATAGCATGGTCCTGGGTTGAACTTCATTATACAGACACAAAACTCAATTTCATGCTCCTTTTTGTATTCTATTCCATATCTTATACTATTTTACATTTTCTATATAGTTTTTCCCCTCTTTTAATTTTCTCAATTTTATTTTGATTATATCATCTCAAGTCAAATCATTATATCTATACTTTTGTCTGTTCTGTTTCAATTTCATAATATCTTTTCTCATTAAACAAATTTTCTCCTGTAGTTACTAATTGGAGTATGACACCTTTATATCTTTTAATTACATCCATTCAACTCTTATTTAAACTTCAATATATATCTTAAGGTTATGACCTTCAATATAATACATAATACATAACTTCCAATCGAATTTTGCTTGGTACATTCTTATAATACACACTATATTTTTTTTAAAAAAAGATTATAAATATATGTAATTATAAACCCTCATTCCATTCCAATTCAGTTCTATCATTAATAATCATTAAAATCTTAACATCTTTAACACTTCTTTTCAATTAAATATCATACTTCCTTAAAGACACGTATAATCTCCATAATTAATTTTTCCCTTATTTCTCTTCACATATGTTTTATAAATCATTAAATATTCATTTTGTTACAATTATTTATTGACAAGCATTCAACTGAATTACAATAGGTATTTTATCAAACATTTTAATCATACATTGTTTCATATTTTCTAAAGTTATTTTCTAATATAACAATACTAACTTATGTACTTTTGCAGAATCCCTTTTTCCATTAAATTTTCACCCATTATCTCTAAATAGGCCCTGTTTATCTATATTTTGTTTCTCTCCTTTATAGCTTCTTTTCCTTTCTTTCTTCCCTCTTATCTTCTCCCTCCCCTTTTTACCCCCTTGTCTCTCTACTTCTAATTCTCTCTTCTGCATTTCCCTCTTCTGTTGCTTTCTGATTTTATTTTTCACTCTATTTTTTTTTGGGGGGGGGGGGTGTTTCCCAATCTTAAACTTTTCATTCTCTTTCCTTTTTTTCCCCACCTAAGATTACTTGTTCATTAAAGATGGCTTCATTTTTGTTGCAATCTTCTTGTTCTGCAGGTATTTCTTGTTGTTTCTCATAATTCCAAATCTCTATTTCTAGAAACTGAAATACAAAGCCAAAAGAACTCTCCTCTCTTGTGCATCTTCTTTGTAACTTTTAAGTTCCATTTTCAATTCTTCTAAAAGTGGAGCCATTTTCAACAGTTTTAAACAACCACCCAACTGATTTTAGACATTCAAATACAATAACCCAAAATCCAGAAATCATCAAGTAATCCAAATAGTCCCAAGTTATTTCTTCTTTTTTCTTTTTTCACTTTCTCTTCCTGGGGTTTTTGTTGCGATATTTCAGTTAAAATGTATCTTTTGGAAGTCTTGTTGAGATTTTGCTGTAAGTTGTTTTTAATTCCAGGCAGTCTCCTCCCTTCCAGATCCTGCCCCTTTATTCTTTTTCTCTCCTTTCCTGTTTTCAAATGCTGTTGATTATCCATAAATCTTTATTATCCCTTTGACTTTTTATTTTTAGCATTAAATGCCTATTAATGTCAAAGTGGATTTTTTTCCAATTTCTTGCTTAAGTCTCTTAGCTGTCAGTATAGGAAAAGGAGAAAAGAAATCCAAATATTTTCCCTTTTCTCTTTCCTTCCCAGCTTAAAAATCTTCTTAGGGAACAATGTTATTTTTTTAATGGTTTCAATTCCAGGGTACCTTATTTGTTGCTTTTGCTGTTTGACCTGGTCAACCAAACTTTCTCTTCTTATCTTCCTCCTGCACATTCTTTTCTGGTCGAGTTCTTCTTTGTGGTGGCCATTTCTGACCACTGCTACAACCACCTTCGGGAAAGAGAGTAATGGCCAGCTGGGGAAGAGAGATGTGACTCTCCTCGACCCTGCAAGCAGTCTCCCCCTTCTTCACCACCTCTATGGGTGGCTTAGCCCCAAAACCAGCCAGCTTGGGGCGCTCCAGCGGCGAGCACGGATCGAAACCTCGCAGAGGCAGGGTTTCAGTCTGTCACTGAAGAAGCTCAAACTGGAAATCTGGGAACCAATAATTCTGAAACAGTAACTTTAGCAACGTCCAAAGATTTAAAATAGAATTCAGGATCTCTCTGGTGTTCAGAAAAATATTCAAAATTGAACTCGTTCTGTTTCTTGATGAGTGTAACTTTTCTTTTTATGTAGACAAATTCCTTGTGTGCAGATATGGTATTCAGCAGGTTCTGACCAGTTCTGGAGAACTGGTAGAGGAAGTTTTGAGTAGTTTGGAGAACTGGCAAATACCACCTCTGACTGGAGATTTTACAGTATCCTTCCCCCACCACGGCCACCAACCCACACCCACAGAACTGGTAGTAAAAAAAATTAAATCCCACCAAGCCTTGTGTGTCTAGTCACACTTGGCCAATAAAGAATTCATTCATTCTTTCATTCTTTCATTCTTTCATTCACATATTTTAATCGTTATAAATATTGTACAAGAATCTATGAATTGCAAATAAAGGTTAAAAATGTGCATCTATTTTACTAAAACGCCACTTCCAAGTCTCTCTCTTGGAAGTATCTTGCTGGCCAATGGTAGATATGGGATGTTTATTTTTTCTGTGTATATATTTCATACATTAGACATTTATTTATTGGCTGCCTCTCAACTTGCTTTCATGAGTTCTGTATTATCATCAAGAAAATTGCACAGCTTTTACTTAACCACTTAGTTTTCTTTTAGCTGTACAAATTTTCTGAACATAATTTAGCATAATTTAGGACTCATTGTATGCTTGCTTTGCCTCTCTTTGTAGGTGTTTATGTACAAATGAGAAAAAAATTGAGCTGAGCAGAATGGCAGAGTTTGGACCTATGACATTATTTGCTTCAGAGGTTAAACATAATACCTACAACAATCCAAATTCCACATCATTTGCTTCAGAGATGAAATATAATATCTCCGACAATCCAAACTGGACTGACTTTGAAAATTTTCAAATTCAAAATAGTCCAAATTTTACTGAGATGATCATCTTTAACATCATTATTTTGACCCTCTGCTTTTTGGGACTTCTAGGGAATGGAAAAGTCATCTGGATTCTTGGTTTTCATATGAAAAGGAATTCTTTCTCCATCTACGTCTTGAATTTGGCTGTGGCTGATTCTGGTATACTCATAATATTGGTTTTGATGCAAATATCCCAGATTCTTAATCAAAATAATTTTAATTTTATTTTCCTCCTCCTTTATTTTGTGTTATACAATACTAGTCAACTTTTACTCATAAGCATCAGTGTGGACCGCTGTGTATCTGTGCTTTTTCCAATTTGGCATCAATGCCATCGGCCACCCAAATTATCCCTCATTGTGTGTGCTATCACTTGGGTTCTGCCCATTGTGTATTTTGCCTTGGAAATGATAGTTATATTTTCCGAACCTTTCCTATTGTTTCAGCTAGTTTTCAATGGTCTGGTTTCTTACCCACTGGTGGTCATTTCTACTCTGATCCTGCTTGTTAAAATTTTCTTTAAACAGTACCAGCAAAAGCGGAAAAAAGTGTTGATGGTAACCTCACTTGCTCTCATGTGCTTCATTGTATTTTGTTTGCCTCTGAGCATACTTTCCATTATTATTTACAGTATACTAAAAATCAATGATTTAAATTCACTAGTTGATACCCTGCTTGCGATTTCACTAATAGAAATTAAATCGATGGTGGACTTTATTTTAACGAATGCATATATTATTCATCCCTGGATTCAGTCTATAATTATTCTTGCATTGCTATCTAACATCTGTATCGCAATAAACAGCAGCATCAATCCAATCCTTTATTTTCTGGCTGGGAGAAATAAAGAACGATCCAGAGTATCCATGAAACTTGCGCTCCACAGGCTGCTCAGAAATGAAGAAGAGTTCAATAAGAGAAACGGAAGTTAGAACTTTGAAAATTACAAGAGAAAGATTAATTTGAACATCATGGAAGATTACTATAAGCTATTATTAATTCTAATTAGTATTAATAATTAATATGTATTAATATTATGAAGGAAAAGCACTGATACTATAGAATTATTGCTAGAGAATATCATGATGTTGAGTATTGCTCAGAGGAATTGTAAGGAGATAACATACTGTCTATATGGATATTGAATATGTTGCTCTTTCTATCTATCTAGATAAAAGTGAAATACCATGCATCATCACAAAATCTCCAGAACCGTAAAGCCTACAAACTTGAAATTTGACACCTATGTTCCTCTTGGCTTCTAGATGCTAACTAGGAAAAGATTTTTCAAAATGACCATCAGAGCATTAGTATTTCCTGTATTATTATTAACATGCTCTGATGCTAAGGAGTTCTACTCCCCCTCCCCACCTGAAAAGAAATCTGTTCCAAATACAAAACACAAGCAGAGGAGGGGATTTTCAGTTTCAGTTTTAGTTTAGAATAGGCAAGTTGAGCTAAGCCACACCCAGGCTCCTTGCTGTCTCCTTCTTGCTCACACAGCAAATACTGTTTCAATTTCCATCTTTCAGTTTCCAAACAGCCCTCAACTCTCTCACACACTGACAGGACACTAGCCTGATGGATGATGGTAAGCAGAGGTCTAATCACATAGTTTTGTAGTAAAGCATGGGTATAGAACTAGTTTACAATATAATAATAATAATAATAATAATAATAATAATAATAATAATAATAAT